CCCTGGGATCATGACCTGAGCCGAAGGCAGACGCTTAACGACCGAGCCACTCAGGCGCCCCGGGTATCTGACTTTTGATTCGGCTCAGGTCATGATCTCGGGGCCCTGGGATGGAGCCCCAAGTTGGGCTCCCTGCTCAGCATGGAGTCTGCTTCTCCCTCTCCCTCTGCTCCTCCCCCACTCTCTCGCACTCTCTCGCTCGCTCTCTCTCAAGTAAGTAAATAAATAAAATCTTTAAAAAAAGAATGAGAAGGAAGAACGGAGGGGTTTGTGGAAGTGGGGGAGGCAGGGACCCAAACTTATGGCCTTGTTAGGGGGATACAAGACCTGACAACAACTGTGTTATACAGGATCCCCTTTGAATCGTGTCGTGCAGTGCCCGAAGGTGTTTCAAGAAGGGGGTCCCTTCTGATCTGGTGACCCAAGTGGGCACTGCCAAGCAGCAGGTGACAATTATTTTCCAGTAAATGAGGCCAAAAGAATTACGTGTTTGGGAGAGTGACAAGTATCCTATGGTCCTGGCCGTGGTGGTCCCTCGTCAGCATCCTTCCTTTGACCCCGCAGGTATGACGCTGGACGGGACGGCTTCATTGACCTGATGGAGCTGAAGCTGATGATGGAGAAGCTGGGGGCCCCCCAGACCCACCTGGGCCTGAAAAACATGATCAAGGAAGTGGATGAGGACTTTGACGGCCAGCTCAGCTTCCGCGAGGTACCTGGGTCCCTGCGTTGGAGGGCCCCTGAGAGGAACCTCACAGTTACGGGTCCCTGGAGCACATGGCCTCTCCCGAGCACTGATTGGACAGTTAACCTAGAGTTCTTTAAAAATATCTTTAAAAAGCTAGTGAACTGCAGTGCTGGCATGGGAAAATGCTCGGTGAGCAGATAGAAAGTCACTGTGGGTAGGACAACCTCATTTGGGTGAATGTTTGGGTGTGGAGAAATCTGGAAGGATGTTTACCAAATAGTGGATATGTGTGGGTGCAAAGTTTTGGTAGTTTTATGATTTTATACTTTTTAATTTTATTTATTTATTTATTTATTTTTAAAGATTTTATTTATTTCTTTGAGAGAGAGAGAATGAGAGAGAGCACATGAAAGGGGGGAGGGTCAGCGGGAGAAGCAGACTCCCCGCCGAGCAGGGAGCCCGATGCGGGACTCGATCCCGGGACTCCAGGATCATGACCGGAGCCGAAGGCAGTCGCTTAACCGACTGAGCCACCCAGGCGCCCTATACTTTTTTAGATATCAAAACTTTCAACTTCCATAATAAGCATAGAGTCAAAAAGGAATTAAACAGAGGGTCTTACTCCGTGCTCATGGAGCTCCCTGTGTCCCCATAACAATCCAAGAACGGGCTTTTTGGCCTTTGAATCCCTGAAATTGCAGGCAAAATTTTGTATGTACAGATATCTTTCTGGAAGAGTGCAAGTAGATTCAAAGTCTGATCTCTAAATGTGTGAGAACTTGGTGATAAGGCCGTTTCTATCTTGGGGGGGACATCTCGGGGACACTGGGTTTCTTCCAGGGCAGGGATGATGCAGCCCCACAAAGAAGGGTTCCATGTCTTATGTGCTTGAGTTTTATTGCAAGGTCTCCAGACGTGTCCGTGTGCCCTGGTGTTAGAACAGGTTTGGGGACACCCGGGCTCAAAGCTCCAAGCATTAGCCCAGCTGCTAAAGTCCCATTCTGTCACATCTCAGCTGGGCCCTCGAGGGCTGGGAATAGAGAGCGCTGTCCTTGCTTCCTGGTGTGTAACCTTGGTTATTCCAGAAACACTGGAGTTCCAGCATCCTGGTTTCTGATGGTGAGGGCTTTGGCCATGTACGGGTCCTCTCTCCAGGCTAGATAGGGCCCATGGACATTCTTCTGAGGTCCCTGGGGCCGAACCGGCAGCAACAAGTCCTCTCCCCAGCTGTGGTGAAACTGGCCTTGCCTCTCACTGCCCACAAATCCAACTCCAGATCCCCCCTTCAATTCCTTTCCTGGACTGGCACATGCAGAGAGAGAAGATCACGGAAGACCTGTGTTGGGCATAACCCTCAGGATATTCTAGGCCAGCCTTCTCATCTCAGCGCTAAGGAGCTAGAGGGCCAAAACGGTCAGCACTTGGCCTGAAATCACGTTCCAGCTCAAGGCTGGACCTGGGTGGCGGGCTCGGTGCCCACGGCCTCCCGTCGTCAGCTGCCACGCTCATCTTCACAGTTGTCCCTCTGGCTCCCTGGCCTCTCGTTTGGCTCCTTTGTATCATTTGTGCTAGGCATTGGCTCTTTCAACCCAGCTATCCCTGGGGTAGAGAAGGTAAAAGCTTTCGTGTGGGTGAAGCTTTGGAGGCAACACCAGGGAAAGAGCTTCTGTGGCAAAGTTGTGACTTGTGGGGAACAGAAATCGAGAGGTTGTTGAGAGGTCTGTGCAAGTCACCAGCCGAGCTAAGACGCAGTCCCAGGAGCCACCCAAACGTGCTCCTCGTTGAACCTAAGAGGCTTGGTTAGCTTTCGCTTAGCTGCAGGTTTGGCCATTTCCCACAGAAATGCCCACAGGTGGACATCAGAGGTTTGGAAATCTCTAAAGTGTTCCTGTTGTAGGTTCTCCCCGCTCCCCGCCCCCCCCACAAAGCCTCAGTGACATTCCTGTCAGTCCTTTGTCATTGAGAGCCCCACTGTGGTCCCATCTCTAGCAGGCGCCCCAAGTTATTTTACTCCTGAGCCTCAGTTTTTCTGTCTTTAAGGGGCACCTGGGTGGCTCAGTTGGTTAAGCATCCCACTCTTGATTTTGGCTCAGGTCATGATCTCAGGGTCGTGGGATCGAGCCCCGTGTCCAGCTGAGCACTCGGGGCAGGGTCTGCTTGAGATTCTCCCTCTCCATCTGCCCCTCCCCCTTACTCGCACTCTCTCTCTCTCTGAATAAATAAATAAACTCTTAAAAAAAATAGGGTTGTTAATAGCTTTCCCTCAGGACTGTTGTGAGAAGGGAGTTCTCTCTCCATGCCTGAATCAGTTAGAACTCCTGATGGCAAGCGACAGAGAATGCCAGCTCATTTACACAGGAAAACAACAAACAACTCTCGGCTCCCGTAGCTGGGAGATGAAGAAGTGGAAGTGCGTCGGGCACAGAGGTGCAGCATCTTTCTCTGGTCATACCTCGACCGTGCTTTCTTCTGTGTCCACCTCACCTTTTCTTTCCACATTGCGTGTTCTCCCTGACGCCTGCCAAGATGGCTACCAGCAGCTCCAGGTTCTGTGGTCCCAGGTTAGCAGCCGCGGGGCCTGAACCGTCTCAGCTGGCCTCTGAATGGCGCTGCCAGGCACACGTGCCCACCTCCTGACCAGTCACTGCACTCAGGGGACTAGGATTGGCTGGGTCCAGGTCATGCACCACAGGGCCCCATGGCCCGCGGTCCCACCATCATCATCACGTGGGGGCCAGGTTGCCAGACAGACAAAATTGCTCACTTCTACTGCTCTTCCCTCACAGCCTGGCATTTAGTAGGTGCTTAGTGAATGTTTCGGTTCCCTTTCCTTCTCTTTGGATTAAATTGACCAAAGCAGGTCACATCCACATAAAAGCTCTTTGATATGGAATGTATGTCTCCTTTAAGTGCTATTATGCTACTTTCCCCCAGTGTACAAAGCAATTGCTCTTTCTTTTAAACCATTTCCTTTCCAATTATGAAAAGAATGCATGTGGGGGCACCTGGCTGGCTCAGTGGGTGGAGCACGTGACTCTTTGTGACTCTTGATCCCAGGGTCGTGAGTTCAAGCCCCACATTGGGCACAGAGCCTACTTTATTATTATTATTTTTTTAAGATTTGTTTTATTTATTTGACAGACAGAGAGCACAAGCAGGGGGAGTGGCAGGCAGAGGGAGAAGCAGACTCCCCGCTGAGCAAGGAGCCCGATGTAGGGCTCGATCCTGGTGACCTGAACCAAAGGCAGACACTTAACCGACTGAGCCACCCAGGTGCCCCTCCATTATATCTCTCTTAAAGAAGAATTGCGCTCCGGGTGCCTGGGTGGCTCAGTCGTTAAGCGTCTGCCTTCGGCTCAGGTCATGATCCCAGGGTCCTGGGATCGAGTCCCACATCGGGCTCCCAGCTCGGCA